GATAAATCAGGAAGATTACTTACAAAGCAGTCTTTTGTGGAAGAAGTGATGGTTCTACCTTACTTGTAACAAGGCATAGAATTTACAGTTTTAGCTACAGTATATGAAGTTTGCACAAGACTAAACATAACTTTCAAAAGCTCATCATACGCAGGGCAGGAGGATTTGGGAAGGCTCAGCCTCAGCTTCTTTGCCCTCCTCAGACATTTCCTGCTTTTGCTGGGCCGAACCCAGCAGAGCACTGGCCCCTGGACCAGACGATGTTAATGAAATAACATCATCCTCCAGCTGCTCACTCTCGTCCACAGATGACGATCGCGAGAGGGAAATCACCTCTTTAAACTCATCGGCCAGATCCACCTGTGATCCCCATGAGCTCATTCTCCTTCGTGCATCAGCAGCGGCGGGTCCTGAATTGCAGGAAGCAGATGGCTGCCCCTCTTTCCTCGAAAAAATAGACAAATGAGAGCGGAGCTTTTTCATTGGAAAACGCTCGCAGTGCACACCGATTGCCCCCTCGGAGACATCGCGTGCGTGCTCTTCGCCCAAACAAATAACGCATAGATCGTGTGTGTCATCAGATGTTAAACAACGACAACACGGATGCACACATCCTCTAAATGCTTTGCTAGTGCTCGCCATGATATGAATAGAGAACGCTCTTACCACAGAAATGCATGCTTTAAACAAAAGAGTCAATGAAGACGAAGAAGAGGATGATGTGTTCTCCCGGCGCCTATTTATACTATAGTCGCACCGGTAGTGACGTCATGGCTGTCGCCGGCCAACGTGTTGTTGGTGTTTTTTCAATGTATGCTTCAGACACGGGTCACGACGAGGCGTCCCCCCCCATAGCGACCCCTATAGGATGCAGTTCGAAGTTCCCATGAAAGGGAACTGAAGTTAATCAACTGTTTTTGTCAGTGGCGGCTGGTCAATAGGGGGCGCTGGGGCGCCACCCCCCTCAAGTTAGCCAGGGAAGAAGCTTACTTCAACATGTTAAAAATAAGTTAAATATATATTGCAAAATAATCATGAAATTGCTTTGTTTAGTCATACGATTCGACTGGTAGTCATGTTAGCACCTATTAAAAATCAAAAAATCTAAACTCTATTTAGTTTGTTTTGTGTGTGGGGCGCCGGACAAATGGGTGTCTATTAGGTCCGTAAACTTTTGAAAAGCATGTGACTTGAGGCTAAGCTCTAATTGGCTTGTTTCAGATTGTAGACCCTCCCACTTTTGATTTTAGCGAGTCAGTATTGTTTTTATATATTTTGGCCTCATGTGATTGGATATCTCTTCCGAGATTAAAATAAATTCGATTTTATTTTCTTACAAAAAATCCTTTCACAAGACATTTAAATGAAAAAAAAAGAAATAAATAAAAATACGGATCATGGAGCTTGGATGGAGTTGGCTAGCTGGATGCGATGTAAGTCATGCCTTTTATTGTTTTCCCTGTTTGTTATTTTAAAGTCCTGTCACCGAAGCATTGTGGACAGCGACACAGAAGGTAACTGAAACAACACAGTTTAACTTGAGGCGATCAT